ATATATATATATATATATATATATATATATATATATATATATATATATACAGCTTAGCTTTATTATGTTTTTCTCCGCTCGCAGAAGCGCTGCAGGTGCGTGATGTGATATGATGAATCCATGTGAATCCTCATGTTCTGTTGTTTGCTGCTTTTTGCACATGTAAAATTAATCCCCGGGAAACAAATGTTAGTATTTTTTAACGGGTCACAGACATTTATCCTTTCTAATTGAATTCAATTCTAATTTAAAATAATCTTGTCGGTTAAAAATCGGTTAACGAGCGTCGCTTGTCGGTTAGGAAAAATAACCGAAATTAACATTTCGAGACTATTTTTAGTCATAAAGCGAGTCTTTGCTGCCCTCCCAAGCTCCCCATACAACTCCCTGTACTTCTAATGTAAATATGTGGTGAAAAAATGGAAATGCAGCATGTCCTAAGTCCTTGTTTTTTAACACTACCTTTATGTAAAATTTCTAGACAAATCAATTTGCTTAAAGGGGACATGAGATGCCCTTTTTCCACAAGTTGGTATGATTCTCTAGGGTCATCATGAAATGTCTGCAAAATGAAATTCAGTGGTTGTGTAAAACGACACCCTTTTTTACTTTGTCAAAAACAGTTCACAGCGAGCCGTTTCGGTGCATGTCTCTTTAAATGATAATGAGCAACTGCTCTCTCTCTCTACTGCTCTACTCCCTCTCTTCCGGTATTTATTTTTTTTGTGTGTGTGTGTATTTGGTGGCACATTACCATCAAAAACAAAACTAATCTGCTTCATCCTCAGTGACTCTCATGATGGGAGAAAATGAAGACTCTTATGTTCACTTACATGACATTGTTGCCACTACAGTTGCTCGAGCACGGAGAAAATGGCGGACAGCATACAACTGGCTGACGGCCGAAATATGCTAATATGGGACAGTCCGTCAGTGGTCGTGGGCAGGGCCTGAGCAGTATGACGTCATACTGCTCAGAAAATCAAAACGGCTTGATAATTGAGGCTGTTTAGGTTTTTTGGTGATTAAAAAAAAAAGGAGTGAATGGATTTGCATCATTGTAGGGTGGTTGTGTCCACACACTGCTTAGACATATTTATATGAAAACACCATGTAAAAGTGAATTTTGCATCCGAGGTACCCTTTAAGCATTCCTCTACAACATACTACAGTAAATCAACATTCAAACACAATTAATACTACATTAAGGCAATTCTAAGGTGCACGTTTGTATCTAGAGCCTGTCAATCAACTTTGACACAAGAGTGCCACCCTTAGACTGAATTACACAAGGACACCAGACCTCTGCCAATAGTACTGTTTATTATATTAATTATATAAGGTAAGCTAGCGTTACAACCCAGAATCTACCTAAATGTTGAATAGTAGGGACATGTGTCATTGATGTAGATACAAAAATGATTATTTACTGTAGGTTCCTTCTAATAAGTTCATGTTCCTTTTCTCCTAGTTCAGTACAAAATGTAAGACATCTGGATGTCGGTTTTATAATATTTGATCAGGGATATTTTATAACAGGGCTGTATATGTGATCATTGTGTGCAGCACAAAGGCATTTAATAATCTTAACATTTAGTAATACATTTTTTAAATAGAATGTTGTATCCTTTAACATTACTTAATGCACTGTGAACTGACATGAACTAAGAACAATTGTAGTTTTATGACATTAACATTATGAAGTGTTGTCCTTGTTTGTTTAGTGATACCATCTGTGATCTGGGTGGAGTAGATGAACTGGCCAACTACGGGGAATACTCTGGAGCTCCCAGCGAGCAGCAGACGTACGACTACGCAAAGACTATCCTCTCTCTAATGACCCATGAGAAACACCCTGATGGTGAGTGTGAGACAGAATAGCATGCTTTTTAAGTCACGAATTACTAGTGTGAAAAATATAGTAATAACAGAAATGTAAAAAATAATACACAATTAATGGCATTTCAGTCCTGTATGATTTCAGTGGCGCTCTCACCAAGACAGAAACCTAGCAATCAACAAAACACAAAATAGAGTTGCTATGGTCGCAGCTGGTTAAGACAGAAATTTTGATTTAATTTATCACTTTAAAATTAATGATTTAATTTGTCACCTCAGTCCCTCGTATTGTGTGTGATTAAGGCATGGTTTAAATGTTAAATTCAGATTTTTTTTTCCCCACTCCAATTTTGCCTCTCCAGGAAAGGTTTTGATCATTGGCGGCAGTATTGCTAACTTCACTAATGTAGCAGCTACTTTCAAGGTACAGTGGCACCATCATTGTTAAATCATGTTATGTAGCTAGTTCTTTTCATAATGTTTCATTTTTCATCACACTCATTAGGGCATTGTGAGGGCTATCAAAGACTACCAGGGGCCCCTAAAAGAACATGAGGTTACCATCTTTGTTCGACGTGGAGGTCCAAACTACCAGGAAGGGCTGAGAGTGATGGGAGAAGTTGGTAAGTAAGAACAGCTTACCAAGGGTGCTGTTTACACCTGGTATTAACATTGTCCGAAATAAGATTTGTCCAGTTCAAACACATTCAGAGGCGGTAGAAAATGACTGATTACCTTATAGGGAAATATGTATAATTAGTTATTATTATTTATATCAGCTGTAAGAACTCATGTAGCAGAATTAATATTATGATCGACTACCCTGTTCATCCAGCAAATATTCAGTGTAATCGCATAAGTATAATCATCTGTCAGCTAAAAGAAGTATATACATAATACTCAGAGGAAGTAGCAAGATCGGGCTGTTTAAGGGATAGTAATTTTTGCAGGGTTCCCCGAGTCCTAAAATGTCTTAAATTTAAATTTTACAATAGTCAATTAACTGGTGTTTGTTTTATTATTTAATGCCCCAAAAAAGTATGTCTTAACCCATAGTTGCTAATTTGTGCTGCTCTTGGTAGATTGCATTGGTCATTACAAAAATGAGCTGGCTGCATCTGTATTCATTCATTTGTGTATTGTCACGCCTGTTTCACACATACTCCGTCTGCAGTGCGTATGCAGTCCATGTGCGTTACGTATGCGCTGCAGAAGCAGCACGGACTCATTTTGCTTTCACACAGGACTTTTCAATCCGCTACTGATCCGCAGCTGCTTACCACAAACACAACATTTATCCATTATTTTGATTTCAAATCCAAACGTTACTGAAAATGCTTATTCAGCATTGTGATCCTCTTTTATCACAGTATACAGGGCTTAAAGTTCTCCGGCACCGTGCCGGATCTCCAGCGTGCAGCGTTTGGCTGCGGAAAAAAATAGTCCTACATTTAAAAAAAAATAAAAATAATCTTCTTGATTGACATCACTTTCAAGTCCATGACTTCGCCTACCAATGGTATGAGAGGAGCACAGCTTTCACGCTCAACCAAACTAACATTACTAACCAATCAGAATGTTTTGCTCTTATAAACACGAGACGTGCATAATAGTATCCAATTGCGGAGTCGCAGCCCTGATGAATGGAGAAGCGCGACAAAAAGCTGCGAGGCGCAATGGTCAAAGATGTCCATCTAGCACATATTTACATAGAATAACTCATTAAAAAGCAGCGGAGCTTTGTAAACGGCCCAGAGTAGAGGTCTGCGCGGGACTGTTTTTTTAGTCCCACTCCCGCAAGTTTCTATTCCGCACCCACCTGCTCCCGCTATATATTCACTCTTTGTTCACCCGCTGTCCGCTTAGAATAATTTTCTTCCCGACCCGACCGTTCCCGTTAAATTTAGATCTCGTTTCCAGAATCTCACATTTAAATTTCCGCTACTGAAAGAAAAAGAGATAGGCTCACAAATAAAATTGTATGTTATTTTATTCATCTTGTCAAGAGTCTTGAATTTATTGACTTTGACTTGAATTTATATGAATTATCTTAAGACACAAAATTCGTTTAATATTTTATGCAACACGGTAGGAAAAAAGTGTCAGAGAAAATAAAAATGTTATACAAAAATTGTATTTCTTATTTTTATTCGTCTTGTCAGGATACAATTCGTTTAACATTGACAACACAATAGGAAAAAAAAGTCTCGCAGAGAGAAAAAAAGAAAAAAAAGTAGGTTGTACAAAAATAGCCTATTAGCAATTTTTATTCGTCTTGTCAAAATACTAAATTCGTTTGACATTTTTCTGTTAACACAGTAGGAAAAGTGTCGCAGAGAAAAATAAATAAATACGACATTTCATTTAAAATTATAGGCTAAGCAAAATATAAACAAAACCGAGTTGAACGTCCTTCAAGGACAGCACATCCACACTTTGCTCCATCCTTATTCTGCTCT